GTAATTCTTCACTCTAACTGGAGTTTAGGTCAGGGTAACAGGGTTTTTTTGCAGTATTGGAATACACTAGAAGGAATTAGGGACTTCATGGATAGTATGAAATATGAGGATATTCTCCAGAAGGACACTGTAGTAAGACTACAGTGAATTAAATTTGTCTGTGGTGGGAATATGCAAAAATAGCTGGGACAAAATTCCTCTGACAAATATAAATCCATTTAGCGCAATGCATTATACATTAGTGCATGCTCGGTCAATGTGGTACAGTTAGTTTCATATCTTGAAAGGAAATATCCTCACTATTCCACAAATATTGTAAGAAGCACTTAGTATTTTAGGTTAAAAACCTGTACCTTACATTTTCATATTATTCTGATGTCAGAGGATATAAATTATAATTATTGGCATTATTATTCCGAGGTGCTGTAGCTAGTGACTTTTACATCTGAGTCTCTCTTCCTTCATGTCTACCACATTGACTTTCTGGTATGTGACACAAAGGAAATCTTATATCAGTCCTGTCTGGCTAGCTTAGAACGGTTTTCAGGAATAAGAAAACTGACTCAATAAATCAGATACTTGCCTGTCTTTAAAACGTTTCTTTTAGTGTTTCCTTTAAGATTCTGTTCTCTAGCTGCTTTGAAGAAAGCATATAGATTTCAGCACGGTATTATGATAAATCTTCTCGAGGAGGGGCAAGTATTAACATTTGTGTCGGTTCTTTTTCATCTTAATCCAACCTTGGTTAATAATCAGAAAATTCTACATAGTGGGTAAGAAGATGTAATTAACCCTTTGACCCCAGAATCTTAATTGGCGCCTGTTGAAAACAGTGGGGCAGTTTAAAAAAAAAATTAAAAAGTAGCCTGTGGTGATTGAAATAGCATAATACATAATGGTTTTCTGAAATCAAAAGTACTAGGGAACTTCAGCTTTAATCACATTTTGCTCATAACCAGTAAGTGTAGGCTTACATGGGAAGTTGCCAGTCTTCCTTAAATGGAATTGTGCCCAGAATTGGTAGGTGGGGGTCACGCCGACCGTTTTTAAGGAGCTACACTAGATGGGATAGCACAGGGTTTATGACAGTCAACTTCACTTCAAAAAATGAAAAAGAAACAAACTCAAAATACTTTGCTAACAGAAGATGCTCTGCTCTACCATGATCTTCATGGCCCCTCCTTCAATGAAAATAGGACATTTTATGAAATGTTATGAAATATCAGTGAATATCTATTTCGATATTATAGTTGATGATAACTGGAAAATCTGAAACACAAACCCTATTTGTCTTTAAACTATAGTGAAACTGTTTAAAAATCCTGGCTGGAAATAACACTATGGCACTCATTGTAAAAGAGAGATTTGAAAGCTGACTAAATCTCGTACTTTTCTCATGTTTATTGTGTCATTAGTTGTACATCTGCAATGCAAATAATAGCTCCAAAGATTTCTCCTCGTTAATACAAAATTGATTGTAAATAGGTAGTATACAACAGCATCCTATACTGTTCTTCAGGATACCTGTGTTACATTTTCTGCCACCTTTGTCTGAAGTCTGTTGCTCTCTTGACATGCACAAAGGACAGACGCTTTATGAAAAATTGAAAAATTTCAACACGCATTACTTAAATAATAAATATTCATAAATAATACCTATGAATAACGAATGAGGCAGTCCTTCAGAACTACTGTTTGACCTGTATAAGGAATAACAACATTGGCACAAAAGCGTTTGGTCCATCTCAGCTCTTTCACGTTGGTGGTGCAACTGCCTTGCGTTGAAAGCTGGCTATTTTATATTGTATTTTTATTGTCATTTTTCTTTAACATGAGAGCCTGAGCTTGCTTCTCTGGGATTTTGTTCTAATGGCTTTGTATTGTGGGTAAGGAAGTAGTTAGTTGTTCCATACGCTAATAATCAGGCTTTTTCAAAATATGATGAAATCAACTTTCTGATTTTGTCCTATTGAGCAAAATGCTGAATTCTGTCAGTTTGTGCACTCAAGTATAACTGCAGAAAGGAAGGAAAGGAGTCAAAAGAGTGAAAAGAAATGGAGAATGGAGGCGTGACCACCACCTAGTAGCCTTAGTTGGCGTAATGAAGTAATTTTATGGCATGGGAAGTGACCAGTCATACAAGAAGTCAAAGTAGTTGTGAGTATCCTGTACAGGCCCTGCCAGTCCATCAGTGATACCTCCTAAGGTGTCCCTTGCAAAACTAACAGGCAAAAGTAGGGAATAGCCTCCCAGAAAGAAATAGAAGAACAGGAAAAAGGACTAATGCTGTTTCACTGAGAGGAGAGGTTCAGAGTAGGTGGTGGCATGGACAAGTCACAAGTGAAGAAGGGAGTGATGTAAAAGATACCTAACACTTCTCACTTTAAGACTTTTTCCCATTGCTTGTGACTTCTCCACATTTCAGCCATGAAGGCTGAAATGTCTTTTTGCTCTTGTGTCTACCTGAGACTGTTTTATTTGGTTATATTTTTCCAGCAAAACTGGTTTCAGCCAATTCCGAGAACAATGCTGAGGAAAATATTTCTGCCTAATTCATATTAAAAATTTTTTACCAACCTTTGTTTCGTTAAGAAGCCTGAGCTCCTAAATAAGCTGGTGCTTACTTAGAAAATAAGCAGGCAGGCCATCAGTGACTCAGAATTATTTTTTGCTATTGTCACAAAAGCCTATCCAGATATGCCAGATAATTACACAGTAATATAGTGTACAAAGCAGAACAAATCATACATGTGCTCCTACTGTATGGTCCCTTTGTCCGGTAAAAGAGCAAGAAGACCACACAGACTAAAAAACTGGATATGTAAAAACTGAGAAGAAGAAAACTGTTTTGTATGATATAAAAATAATCTGTGAAACTTCTTGCCTCAAGATACTATTGAGCCAATAACATAACAGGATTCCAAAGAAGGAAGAAAAATGACTTGAGCACACTAGTTATAAAAATAATTATAAAGAACATCAGCTGTCGGTAGTCATGCCGACAAGGAACAACCTGAGATTAGAAAGACACTTCTAGTAGGCCTGTCATTACCTACGTAGCCATTACTGATAATTCAAACAGTGCTCTGAGGTATCAGGTACACACTGTCAGATCCAGGAAACCCCGCCACTGCAGTTAGTCTGATTCAGGATGGCGAATTATTGCTGCTTGTGAAGAATGGCATTCTAGCAAGTGCATATATAGGTGGCCAGGGAATCAGGGTGATGTTCTCGGTGTCATTTCTAGCAGAGGATTAAGCCAGTTTCCTCAGAGGAACATGGAATAGAGCATCAGGAAGACTTAAACCAAGACCTTTAAAGATTTACTCTTCTGATCTTTCTATGACAGGGAAGGTGGATAGTAGCAGAAGAAACGATAGAGGGTGGGGGAGACCCAATGTATAAAGGTTTGCATTGTCCTTGTATGGATCTAAGTTTGATCTTCGCTATTCCAAATTTTCCACCTGCTATTGGTGTTAAAATTCAAGGAACTGATGCTAATCGTCTGAAAAGAAATGATGATGATTTATAAGAGGCCATAAATGGCTTGCATAATATAAATGTTTTTACATGAAGGAAGTCTATGTAGATTTACATTTTTATTAATTCATAAATATAAATTAGAGAGTCTTTCTTTAATGCAATGTCTTTAGTGAAGGTTTGTTTTCCAATGTGTGGTTTATTCTTTTGAGAAAACACAGATTTTTGAACTAATTCCACCACCTACGACATCAGAGAGGGGTGAACACTTGCCAAAGTCAGCTTCTGACCAGCAGTATGTTAGAAATTAATCAAGAAGCAAAAGAATCAAAAAATTAAAAAGCCTCAAAAATGACTGCGCTGTATTTGAAACGGAGTGAAATGATTACAGTGACTTTGGCATGATTTCCTCCCAATTTGTGTGTCTCTGTCTTTTCTTGTTCTTCCAAAACTATGTTGATCTCTCAAATAGTACATTTTTACTTTACACATACCTCTATCCCAAGGCTTGAATTTGGGATGTTTCTTGTTTTCCGAGTTGTATTAGCATTACTAATCTCTAATTTTGTGATTTTACTTTTGCAGTGGTAAATGCTTGTTTACCTATATTCAGCCTCATGAAAAGCATAAACGTAAAGGCATATGTAATGTATGAAAGGCAGTTTATTCCTAGTGAAGATTTGCTCTTCCTCCCAGAGGCATATTTTCATCTTAATTTGAAGTGATTTACTCCATGTATCAGTTTAGAATATAGTCCTTTGTTTGTTAACTGAAGTCATGGTTCAAAAAGTATGCATTTACATATGTAGCCATATTTTGATTTTTGCAGTTGCAATGGAAACCACATCCAAAGACTTGGACCTGTCAAAATAAAATCTGATCTAGAGTTTTACACAGAAGGAAAAAAATTCATAACGTTTCTATAGGTCTAAGCTGTAAACATATTTGGCAGTAATCTCCTGATTGGCTTTGTGTATTCTCTCACAAAAGGAAAATCTATGTGTGTCTGTGTGTGTCTGTGTGCACACGTGCATAATACTCAAGTAATTAACAAATTATTAAGGTCCATAGTGGTCCAAGTGATGATAGGATTTTATTTTCTCTTTCTGAGTTTTTGGAAAGGCAGATTCTCTCCTTAGATTCTGTTGTTTTCTTTTTTTGTCTACTTACATGCCATTTACTCAGAAAGTGGCTTGTTTTCGTTTTATATTTGTGCCTGTAAAAATTTGAAGAATATTTTATTTTTCTGTATGTCTTCCATCATGCAGATGAGATGAACTTTATATAGTATATGGCAGGTGTAAGCATGACAAAAAGCCCTTAGAGTTTAGGAGATACTCGAATCATGTTTGTTAATATATAGATAGAATATAAAGGAATTGACATAAGGATTCCAGTTAAAAACATTCCTACAGAATTCAGAACATTTTTCTCAATTTGCTGTGTGATGTCTTTAAATCTATTTCTGTCTTCAGTGTAGTATTTTATATCACTTTTTTTTTTTTTTTTTTACTTTGCAGTCCCTGGATGGATTTGTATTTGCACTAAATCAAGAAGGAAAATTTTTGTACATTTCAGAAACTGTCTCCATCTATTTAGGCCTATCCCAAGTAAGTAAATACTTTCAATTCTAGAACGTAATTGTGTACGATGCACTCTTTTCCTTATCATACTTAAAGAAATAATAATCTGTTTTCTGTATTTTGCATGGATTATTTAATTACTTATTTAAAGCTGCATGTGCTTCATCCTGAGAAGTAATTGAAAAACATATCTATCAGTGCTGAATGTTCAGATAAGATAAACTTGGGCCTGAAAACTTTTTGCCATGAAGGATCATTATTAATTTATTGAGAACAAATGAAGTTTCTTTTCTCAGTTGTTTTGAACTCTAAACCTCTATACCTGGTAGGAAAGGGACACACTAATAGTACTTCCCTTGTGCCCTATTACTGGATGTTTATGGAGTACCCTGCATTATCCAGGGAGCTGACACGATGACAGGGAGTCATTTGGAGTCAAGAAATGCTGAAAGAGACCATTAAAATGTCTTGCAGGGAGGGTTTCAACAAGGACACATTTTGCTATTTTCACAAATGCTCACTAATATGAAAAGACAAATTCCTAAAATATAGCAGTTTGATTTTTTAATTTAATTGCTGAAAACTATTTTTCAGAGGTTAAAAGACTGGAGAAAAGTGGGGGTAAAGTTGCTTGTTGCTGTTTATTCCTACTCCTGCTGCATTCAGAAATGTTTAGGTTAAAGGTTCATTCTGCTTGCACTTAGAAATGCAGCAGTGAGATTTTGCATGATGATTTTGAGAGTAGGATAATCTACTTCCAGTGCGGTCAGCCTGAGGAGAAACAAGAAAAGCTGAGATAATATTTATTTCTGCTCCTTTAAATCGGGAACCATACTGCAGCTATTAGTACTGGAAACAGTCAGTTTTGCTGAACCCCAACCAATAATGAAGTGGGAAATACGAACATTTCATGCAGAAAAAGACTAAATTTAAATATTATCTGCTGAGAATCAGAATAGGGGTTCATTAACTCCTCAAAGACTTCGCAAGCATTTGGCTGTAATATGTACAGTAATTGTTATTTTGTGCTGGCTTTAGCAAACCAAATGATAGAAATGAAACAGAGCTGTTTCTAACTCATATCAGTATTCTTGTCTGTCATTAACATCCCTAGTTTTGTAATAGACTTTAATCCCTGCCTTAATCTGTTTGGGAGCTAGTATCAAGAATCTCAGATTTTGAAATTGGTGCGCCACTATGTTCCTAATACAGTAAAGAATCAGAACTTTAATGTTTATTATTGTCTTATGCTCATATTAATTTTTTATGCATAGTGTCCAACAAAGTTTAATAAGCCAGTAAAGAAGAAGGATGGATAATTAGTTTAAGCAGGTAAATGCTAATTAGGGAACTCCTGAAAGGCATCCATTATACACTAGCTTAAAACAAATTTTACAGCCCTGGTTAGTAGTGTAATCCAAATTCTGTCAAGGCAACTGCATTTTCTGTAATTGAGATGTGTATGTTTGCTTTGCATAACAGATGGCTCTGTATGCTTAGACTGATAGCTAGGAAAATAATAATTGCATTATTCTGGCCAAAAGAATATTAGCTCTTGGGTTTTGGCCATTTCAGTCAGTCCTCCTGCCAGCACAGCATATGCACATATATGGATTGGATTTTCAAGGAAATTGATGCATCTGGAATAGTGTGGCCATCTGAAATATCATCTGTTCAAGAAAAATTTGGCTTTAACCCTATGCTAGTCTCCTGTTAAAAGCGTTTTCTTGCAATGTCTTTTTAAACGGTAGCAGTTGGTGAATCTTTCCTTACTCTAAACTTATATTGTGTTGTTGAGGCTTTACACTTCATCTTTATCCCCATATACATTTTGAGCAAGGGTTCAGATAAATAAAAGAATTATGTGTGCATGTGTGCATATTACAGTAATTGAAGTATCAGTACGAACACCTCTTTGCATTCACTGCAGAAGTGCCTGATGGAAAAACTAACAAAAAATCAGGACCAGGACTATGTATTTTAATATAGTTATAGGTGAAATCTGCTGAGATCCTCTGAAACTTCTCTCATTCTCACTGTTCTTCTGTCTTTATGGAGATATTTTGTATTTCTCAAGCCTACTGTCTTCGTATTTGTTTGTGTATTGTTCTCTTGGTATACTATTATATAGCTAGGTCTCTGGCAATGACAAAAGGAAGGCTGGAGCTCCTGACACTATATTACTATTCAAAGTGTTTTTTGTTACAGAAAACATTAGCAAAAAATATCCATAAAACCATCTCTCAAACTATACATGGAAATGCTACTCTTTCCTCTACAACAATATTAAAATGCTCATGAAAACTGAATTTCTGGAACCGTGGTATGTGATACATGTGGTATTGCATTCCTTGCATTGCAGGCAATGCCTGAAGGTAAACATTGATAGGTTTCTGTCTTGGTACACCCCAACTATATATTTATATAGAATGCAACTTCTAGGTAGTTTTGCAAGTTCAAAAGCTAGGGATGTATATTACAAGCATTTTTGTTTGATTCATCTTCAAGTGCTGGCTTCAGAGCCTTGCTTTCTAGTCCAATGACTTCTCAGAGACTTCATACTCATTTGTTTTCTCTTTTTTAGCTAGTATGCATGGAAAGGATGTACAATATATTTTGTACTTAGCAAAGAAAAAGTCTTAATTCTCCCAGCTAAGGGAAAACAGTCATTGTACCCAAACAAAGCAGATGAAAGCAGAGTTTTTCACTGGACCCAGTTTTTCTCTTTTCTGAACTTTGAGAGCCGGTGGTACAAAACAAATGGATGCTGATTTTCTACGATAGCTGCAAGGGTAACGGAAAAGAAATCTGATGAAACAAATGTCTCTGGAAGTAGCCTGGCAATGATGATAATAAAGTTACTTGTGGCAAAGCTAACAGTATTTGAACAGTAAATGAAAATTACATTGGACATTACAATGAAAGTATCTTGCATTTGGAGACACCCATAAATATATATGTTTTGAGCACTTTATCTTCTAGCTAATGCTAACCAACAACTTTAAGTTAGTTTGGAAGACATGGATTTTAGGATGCTCTTACAGAGCAGTTCACTGTGGAATTGGAATCAGAGCAGCTTCAGATAATACAAATGCATGTTTAAAGTAGACAGAAAGACCCAGGGTTAGCTGAAAACAGGGAGTGAGAGAAGAAAGAGAATAAAGATCAAAGAAACAGGTGAAAATTTCCCGATTACATCCTCAGTCTGTATAAGTTGCCGTAGCTCAGTTATACTTGGGGCAGGCTCAAATACTCCAATATACAGTATTCAGCCATTCTAGGAACTGTACTGTTTGTTAGAAGACCCATACTTGTTTAAGAACATGCAGTACAAGCAGAATTTCTTCCCTGGGTTGGAACATGTACTGATATAAAAACTGACCTGTGACAGTGTGGTTTAGCCTTGTGCCAGTGCTGCAAATGCAAACAGCTTTTTGCACTGGTGCGTTGCACCTCTGTGGTGATGCAAAAATGTTCTGTGCCTTTGTCTCCGTCCATCCGCTGACATTTTCCAGCCAGCAGGTAGTTTTTGATATTGGGCTAACTGCAATCTTTTTAAAATACCCAGTTCCTGATTTCCTTTAAGAAATGGGATGAGATTTCAAAAGTGAAGGTCTAAAATCAGTCACCGCATCTGAACATTCAGAGGCACTGGGAAGTCAACATAAATGCTTTCAATTCTTTTGAGATTTCAGTTCTTTTGCATGGCTTCATTTGAGACTTAGGCCAACAATACACTGAAACCCGGATACTAACAATTGGGGAGAAAAATTCATCTAGAACAAAGGATAAATTAACAGACTTATAAGGGTCAGTAGAAAATATTAGGGGCTGATAAGCTGGCTAGGACACGCTTCTTTTCAGGAAACAAGTTCTTAATCATCTGTCACTAGAAGTGGTGCTCATGCAGGATATTATGCATTCCTTTCCTTTTTTTTTTTTTTCTGTGACGTGCACACCGTAAAGTAAGATATTTCCTACCGTTGCTTCTAGCTGTCCAGGACACAGACCAGGTTTGCAAACTGGCCTGTTTAAAGAAAGCTCAGTAAAAGGGAGCAGTGCAGCTGCAGACGTAATAAGAAGTAATAGAGGTGATAGAGAGAAAAAGAGTAAATTGTTGTTGAGATTTTGTCCTTTTTAAAAGGAAGCAGGTAAAAACAACAGGTATATTACATGTGTACAGTGTTACCAGTAGCATAACCTATCTTCATATTTTGGCTTTCTGTGCATTTGTTCTATGGAATGGCAAATAAAATTATAGCTACAGCACACAAGTACAAGGTCAAATAAATGACAGTACTCAGTCTATTTGTGAAGCTATTCTGAAAGGAACCATGGTGCCAAATGTGGTTTATTTGAATAATAAAGAAGAATTAGATTCCCCTGATAACTTGGCTGAGGGCCAATAAATCACTGGAGGTTAAGGATGCTTTGCAAGTGCTATGTATTTCTTTTGCTTTAGGAAGCACAAACCTCAACTACCATGCTTTACCTGTTTTTCAATGCAAATCAAGTTGAGGCTAGTAGATGGTTAAAGGATTGCTTTGTGCTCTGTTTCCTTAAAAAATAGTATAAAGCAATGTTTACACTTACTCTCATTCTGTAAGTTCTACCTTATTTTCAAACTGAACCATTATCTAAATCAAAACAAAACAAGCAAAAAAGCAACAAAAAAAGCCCCAAACCATAAGCTTCACAAATAAAATACATTTTATGTAGCAAATCTGGACAATAAAAAGATCAAGAAACAATCTTTTTTAAAAATATTCTATAATTAAATAGTACTAGCTTAGAATGAATATTTCTGCTTAGAAGATTGGTGCACTAGTACTGATAATTTTGGAGTGTTTTGACCCCTTTAAAAATTATGAAATAAAAGCCTGGGAAAATCTGTTATGGTCATGTGTTTTTTAAAGAAGGTTTTTTTTTTTTTTTGCGTTCAGCATACGAAAGTTCATTTACTTTTATGTTAAAAGAAGCAGGTGAGCAAGAGAGGATCTCTTTTCAAATAGAGTGGCTCTGAGGAT